TAGGCACGGGGGGGGCGGGGCGGGGAGCGGGGAGGTCCGGAAGCCCTCGCCGCACCCCCAAGCTCCACCCCTCCCCGATCATTTGAGGGGCGCCGCGGAGGTACGACTTGGGTTGTCTGAGGCTGGCTGTGCTTAGGAATCCCCAGTGCTTGTCGCCCCTCCCCCTCAGGGTTTGATTCTCGGCAGGTGCCGCTTTACCTGGGGCAGGTGCTTGGCATGGTGCCTCGGGAGGGGAGGAGGCCACGCGGCCCGGCCCGTGCCCTTCCCCCGCACAACAAAGCTCCAGTGGCCCCGCCTCCGGACTGAGCTTTACGAGGGTCGCGACGCTACTCCGATTGGCACCTGTTGGCAGAAGTGCCCGAGTCACCTCATTAGGTGGGGGGACTGGGAGTCCGCAGGGCCACCCTCTGGGCTGCCAGGTGGAACCTCATCCCAGGTGGGAATACCCGGGTCAACAGGCTGGGGATTTTCTCATACCTGGAATCCTACCTGGGCATGGGGAGCAGGGCTGGGTCACCCCCTCGCAGGGCTGGGTCACCCCCCCCCCCCATACACACACACAGAGGCACAGGTGACTGATGCCAATCTGCTGCCCAGCCATGTACTCCCTGTGCCACCTTGTGGACATGGCCTGAACTCACCTCCCCCACCTTTGATAAGCAGGGCCGGGTGACTTCTGACCTTTGGTTCAATGACCCAAATCTGAGACATGTCCTGTGCCCCCTTAGTGCCTCACCATCTCAGCGTCGTCTGTGTTGCTGTGTAACCAGGTTCTCGTCTCCTTCTGCACCTGCCCTCCATCCCCTCTGTGTCTCCCCCATGTCCTCCTGTCCCCCACCCCAGTCCTGCTGATGGCCTGCCAGCCTTGCCGAGGAGCTGGGCGTATATGGTGTTGCAGATCACACAAGGTCAGACCTTGGGGCTGGGGAGGGCCAGGGTCCCTGTCTCTCCCCAGGGCCCTGAGAGGGCTGTTTAGGAATCCCCATTATATGCATGTGCTTGGTATGTACCAAACATGACCGGGATGGAGGCTGTGATTCCTGGAACGAGGCTGGACCTGTGCCGTGGTTCCCCTTCCCATCTCTTGCCCGCTTTCACCCCCCTCCTGTTCATCCTTTTCTTGTGGCTGCTTGGGCCTGCCACCCTGTCCCTCTGTCTGTCCCAACTTGTGCCTGTCTGTTCTGTGTCCGGCAAACGGATGTCCTGTCCAGATTCCGGAAACGCCCAAAGCATTGAAATCTCCGGACGTGGGGGTCTAGGTCCCTGTTTGCCCTTGGAAGAGGGGAGGATTCTGGGAGATAGGCCTGAGGTCTCCCGCTTTACAGTGAGAGGTGGTGGAGCAGGGATTCTCTAAGCCTGGGCCAGGCCCCTGATTCATGGGCTCACCCTGCTGGCCCTCTGGTGACTCCTGCCTCCTGGGTAGGAGTGAGTCACTCTAGGGAGAACCCAGGAGGTCAGGCCTCCCTTCCTCCCTGCTCTGCATATTCTCAAGCCTCAGCTGCCGGCGGTCAACTGCTCCTCTCTGCCTGGACCCCCATTTGAGATGGTTCTGCTCCTGGCTGCACCCTTGCTCTGCCTGCTGGGGGCTGGGTGGGGCTGGGCAGTGGGCACGGCCTGTTTGGGAGTGGGTAATATTAGATGACCCTGAGTTTAAATTCCAGCGCTGTCACTTCCCTGCCGTGTGTCCTGGGCCGGGTGCCTTTGTCTCTCCGAGCCCTGGTTCTGCTGTTAGAAAAATGGGACTAAGAGGGTGTGGTGTGTTCATGGTTGGGAGGAAATGTAGACCAGCACTCTGCAGGTGGGGCTGCTGTGAAATCCTTACTGGCAAGTCATGGTCAGTAGCGCAGGGTGTCAGTCTGTGTCCTTTAACCCAGGTTTCTCAGCCTCAGCACTGTTTTTAAAATATATATATTTTTATCGATTTCGGAGAGGGAGAAACATCAATGATGAGAGAGAATCATTGATTGGCTGGCTCCTGCAAGCCCCCTACTGGGGATCAAGCCCACAACCTAGGCATGTGCCCTTGGCCGAATTCGAACCCGGTAACTAACCTTTAGCTGGCAGGCCGACTGAGCCAAACTGGCTAGGGCAGCCTCAGCACTGTTGACATTCGGGGCTGAATCACACTTTGAGGTGGGGACTGCCCTGTGCTCTCTAGGTTATTGAGCAGCATTTCTAGTCTCAACCCACTAGATGCCAGTAGCACCCCCTCCTCAGGCCCAGTTGTGACAACCAAACATGTTTCTGGGTGATGTCAGATCCCTCAGAGGTGGGGTGTGCAAAGTCCCCCACCCTCACTGAGAACTGCTCTGTCATCTCTCTGAGCCTCAGTTTCCTCACCTGTAAAGTGGGGGGAGAATAATGGCAGCTGCTCAGGATTAATGTGAGTGATTGGTGGGGGTGTGGCTTTTGGCCTGCTGTAAACCCTCCCTGGGGGCAGCTGCCCTTGAGGTTGGTCAGGAGCCAAGGAAGACTTTCTCCATCTGTGAAATGGGACCTGGTGGGGGTGGGACCTGCTGACAGTGGAGCCTGCACTAGGGGTCTAGGCACTCCTGCTGTAAGTCCTGGTTCTGCCTCGTGCCGGCTGTGAGACCTTGGGACTAGCTATGTCACCATTCAGGGTTCAGTTTCTTCATCTTGAAAATGGGGTGATAACATCTGTAATACTTTCCGCAATAAAGATAAATTTATAAAAGAAAATGGGGTGATAATAGCACCTGCCTCATGGACTTCATTAGTTGCCCTGGGTTATTATTATTACTCAAGTCATACTTGAGCTTCAGAGGGCCACTAGTTTGGGGTACCCTCACCCCACCCCTCCAGTACTGTTTTCTGAGATCTCAGGGAGGTGCCCTTGGCCAGGCCAGGCCCCCGAGGCCTCCAAGCTGTAGTCAGCAGCAGTGGGCACGCAGAGGAAGCAGGAAGTTGTGACTGCCTGCATCTGCAGGCAGGGGGCTGGCTCATGTAAACAACCATGTACATTTGCATATGGGTGTACACTCGTGTTCTGTGCACATGCCGGTAGGTATATGAGAGTGTGCATACCTCTGAGTCAGCCCCAGGGGCCTGTATACCCTTGGGGGAGCCGGCCTTCAAGTTCATTCAGACCGGTGCTGAGGCGAAAGGTTCCCTAGATGCACAGAGCCCCGGAGCTGGCCCAGCGCAGGGGTTGCTGGGAGCTAGCAGGAAAGAGGAAGTGGCCAGTGAGAGGCCCTGGTAGGGCTGAGGTTCAGGAAGAGGGCAGGGCCCTCAGCCGGGACCCAGGATGGCGGAGGCTGATCCACCTTTGGACCAGGAGCTGGAGGTGGGCCGGGGGTCCCTGTGGAGGAGGGCAGAAGAGGACCCCAAGCAGCACAGGCCAGAGGCCCTGCTCTTGGTGCCTCTCAGTTTTGGACAGAAGAGAGGAGCTAGGTTGGAGTTTCTGTTTGGAAGATGGAACTATCTGAGGCCCTTGGGGACTCGCACGTCAGGGAGATAGAGGAAGAAAGAGATAGGGCTCTGCTTCTTAGTCCTGGTTGTAGGGGATAAGAGGAGGGGAGACGGGGGCTGTCATTGCGGCCTCCTAGTTTGGGGGTATAGCAGAGGGAAGATGAGGCCGGCCTTGGCACTTGCTATTTTGAGGCACAGCAAAGGGGAGAAAGAGCCTGTCCTCAGGACCCCAGGCCCATAGTTTTGGGGGGCAGCAGAGGCCTGCCCTTGATACTTCCTTGATTGGGGAGCAGCAGAGGGAAGATGGGGCCTCCTAGTCTGGAGGGACAGCAAAGAGGAGAAGGGGGTCTGCCCGCAGGACCTTGCCATTTGGAGGGCAACAAAAGGGAGACAAGGCCTGTCCTTGGGGCTCCCTAGTTTGGGAGGACAATGTAAGGGAGGTAGGGCCTGTCCGAGGGGAACCCCCTAGTTTGGGGAGCACAGTGGTGGGGCAATGGGGCCTGTCTTCCAGAATCCCACCATGTAAGAGACAGGTAAAGGGAGACAGGGCATTGTCTCACCTCCCAGTTTTGGGGCGTCAGAGGATGTGGAGCAGGCCCTGTCATGGGAGCCCCAGGCTCGGAGGAGGCTAGGCGTGGCTGGCTGAGTGGTCTTTACCCCACATCCTCCTGGCCCCACTGACCCTGCTCTGTCCCCACAGAGTGAGCCCCGCAGCTGGTCCCTGCTGGAGCAGCTGGGTCTGGCAGGTGCTGACCTGGCAGCTCCCGGGGTGCAACAGCAGCTGGAACTAGAGCGGGAGCGGCTGCGGCGAGAGATCCGCAAGGAGCTGAAGCTGAAGGAGGGCGCCGAGAACCTGCGGCGGGCCACCACCGACCTGGGTCGCAGCCTGGGGCCCGTGGAGCTGCTGCTGCGAGGCTCCTCCCGCAGGCTTGACCTGCTGCACCAGCAGCTGCAGGAGCTGCACGCCCACGTGGTGCTGCCTGACCCTGCGGCTGCCACCCATGGTGAGCAGGGCCTTCCCAAGGAGGCGGGACTTCAGGGGCACCACTGCCAGGGACTGAGCTGCAGGTTCCCAGAGGGAGGCTAGCCCCATCTCCACGGACCCCCAGGGAGACACGCTGGGTTACAGTAGCCTCCACCCTCAAAACCAGTTCGAGCAAACATCAAAACCAACACCCAGAGACTTACAGTGCCACACAAGAACCCCAAGCCACACACAGCCACACCAACGCCTGGACAACACCGAAGGACCCACCCAGTGTTACACCAGTATCTGGGCTCACAGTCACACCAACACCCAGACAACACCCACGGACTTAGACCCTATCACGTGAATCCCAGGAAGGTTTCACGTCACCGCAGCACGCAGAGACTCCCATACTACCACCCGGCACCCAAACCGATGCACGCACGGTCACATCAGCACACAAACAGTACACACCCAGAGACTCACACACGGTCACACCAACACCCACAGATTCACATAAACACAGCTGTCTAGCTCTTCCAGACATACACTGTCCTATCAACAGCCAGAGACTTGTATGCATAACGGGACAGGGCCTGAAGACCCAACACCACTTTCACCAGCACCCAGCCTTTCCATACAATAGGCATAGCAATAGCTAGGGGCCCACAGTCATGTCAGTACTATGAGATAGTGCATTAAGCCAACACCCAGAATCTCATATGGTCACATCTACACCTAAAGTCACTCCCACAGTCACATTACTCTCCAGAGAGTCACACAGAGCCATGCCACCTCCAGAGACATGAGTATCTGGCTGTACACACCCAGGCACTCAGACACAGTCATACCATCACCTGAGATCTGAACATGTAGTTGTGCCAACAGTCAGAAACATGCTAGGGTCGCCCCAGCACCCAGATTCTCACACAGTCCTTTTTTCTTTTCTTTTTTAAATGTTTTCTTGGTTTATAGAGACAGGGAGAGGGAAAGGGATAGAGGGATAGAAATATTGATGAGAGAGAAACATCATTGATCAGGTGCCTCCTGCACCCCCCTACTGGAGATAGAGCCTGGACCCAGGCATGTGCCCTGACCCGGAATCAAACCAGCAGCCTCTCGGTCCATGGGTCGACGCTTAACCTCTCAGCCACACAAGCCGTCCTGACATAGTCCTTCCAACCTGCTGTCTCACACAAGCGCCTAGGGAGACGCACACTGGCTTCATCATGCCAGTACCCTATGGGTTACAGATAACCACAGTCACACCCATAGCCTCCACACAGCTGTGTAAAGAATTAGGGGCCTCTGTTCACAGTCCCACCAACACTGAGTACTCATGCACACCTGGACACTTGCCCATTCATGCTGGTCCCACCCTGGCACTGAGGGGTTCCTTCCGAGGTCTGGGGTGGTTGGATCCTCAGGGTCCTGGCCTGGGATGGAATCCGGGTTGGGCAGAGGGCAGATCCTTTCAGCTGGGCCAAACCTCCTGGGCAGATGGAGGTGAGGGCCCTGGTGACTCTGTCGCACCCACCTCTCTCCAGATGCCCCCCTGTCCCCTGGTGAGGGTGGCCCGGCCTGCTCAGCCGCCAACCTGAGCCGCGTGGCTGGTCTGGAGAAGCAGCTGGCCATCGAGCTGAAGGTGAAGCAGGGGGCAGAAAACATGATCCAGACATACAGCAACGGCAGCACCAAGGTAGGGCACAAGCAGGCACCCCCATGTGCATGCATGCTCTTGAACAGGTCATGGGCAGTGGGTGGGAGAGGTCGGGGGCTAGGGGAGGACAGGGACTGATGGGGGGCGGGAGGCTGGACTGGGGTGCAAGCAGGCCTTATGGGAAAGGGGGTGACTGTGTGTGATGTCAGACAGACACATGGCAGAGACTGTCCTCCCACACTTAGTTGTCCCCTAGAGACTTGAGGGTTTCCATGGTCAGGCCCACACAGAGCCACTCACTGCTAGTGACATCTCTCTGACACATGTCAACACCTGGATGCACACATGTCATCTCTTTTGTTAGTAAATTTTTACCCATGTCATAACATCTAGAGTCACAGAGTCATAGCAACACCTAGACACCCACACACCGTATAACGTGTAGAGACATCACCTAGACCCACAGATACACCATTAAATTCACACCCAGAGGCCAGAGTTTTCATACAGATATCCCCCCAGTCATACCAACACGGGGACACTGTCACAGGTCTGTCTGTCCCAACACCCAGGGACACTCACACAGACAAGCAGTCAGACGTGCTGCTAGAGACCCTTGTTCACCCATGCTCGTGTGCTCACACACACACACAAATATTACATGTGAGGGAATAAGCTACACAGATTATTTTTTCTAGCTTTTATTGAGCAATAACATACAGACGTATGGGAAACTTAAGTGTACAACCCAATGAAATTTTACCTGTGTACACACCACCCCATTAAATCCAGAACATTTCCAGTCACCCAGAAAGTTCCCTCCTTCAGTCAATACCCAGGCTTCTCTCACCACAGGTTAGCTTTGCTTGGTTCTGAAACACAGCACAAAGTGGATGGAAAAATCCACAACCAGTTTCTTCTTCTTCTTCTTTTTTTTTTCAATATGGAACGCCTCACGAATTTGCGTGTCATCCTTACGCAGGGGCCATGCTAATTTTCTCTCTGTCGTTCCAATTTTAGTACATGTGCTGCCAAAGCGGGCATAACAACTGTTTCTACTACTTGTGCGTACAGAGGGTCCTGGGCTATGTCCAGTCATTGCAGTACCTTGAACTGCACACAGAAACATCTGGAACCCCATTATAGCAGACTGTCTCATACACCCACCCGGTCACCCTTGGCGACTCACCCACGTGGCTACAGTCAGGGCTACCCCTGCCATGGGGACATGCATGCGTGTGAACAGCTAATGCGAATACAATGCCTGCTGGTGCCAGGCACAGCCCTGAGCTCTTCATACAGATCAGCCTCTTTAATCTTCAGCCCAGTGGGGATCAGGGCTCTTAGTACTGATCTCATTCCTGCAGATTGAGGAAACAAGCCCAGAGAGGTTAAGTGGCTTGCCTGAAGCCACACAGCTATGGCAGAGCTAGGATTCAGGCCCCCTTTACATCTGGGAGCACACAGATACAGACACTCTGTCACACCGTCACCCAGGTCTGCACTGTGTGGACAGCAAGGCCGGTGGTTGGACCCCAGCTCTTCAGCAATCCTCTCATTTCCTACCTCTGCCCCCAGGACCGGAAGCTGCTGTTGACGGCCCAGCAGATGCTACAGGACAGTAAGACCAAAATTGACATCATCCGCATGCAGCTCCGCCGGGCGCTGCAGGCCTGCCAGCTGGAGAGCCAGGCAGCCCCAGATGAGGCCCAAGGTGAGCCCCTCGCCTTGAGACAACCTAGCCTGCATTTAGACTTGCAGCTCAGCTCTCAGCCCTGAGAGGGAGCCCTTTCTGTGGCAGAGAGGTGGGTGCTGTGACTCACTCTGTGACTGGAGCCTGTTCCCCCTCTCTGGGCCTCAGTTTCCCATTTTGTCCCACTTGAAGTTTACCCTAGATCAGATTTTGGCAAACGATAGCCCACAGGCCAAATCTGCTACTGCTTTTTTTTTTCTTTTGTTAGTAAATTTTTATTGGCACACAGCAATGCCCATTCATTTACTATCATCTAAGGCCAATTTTGCACTGGGACAGCAGAGCTGCGTAGTGGCAACAGAGCCTGTGTGTTCTGCAAAGCCAAAAATATTTACTCCCAAATTTCATAGAAAAAATTGTGGGCATCTGGACTAAGTGGTTGCCTTGTCATGTTGGTTCATATTGTGTAAATCTGTGGGTGTCCACCGCATGTGTGTCTCTGTCAATGAATGCCTGAGCGGTGTCTCAAGCTGATTGTCAACCTGAACTTGTGGCAGGGTCTTGATGTATTGTGTGACTGTGTCTGCTACTGATGTGTGTCAGCATTAATGTGCCATAGACTGTGGGGACCATGGGTTGAGTGTATGCCCTGGTAACTATGCTAGTTTGTGTGTCACCATGACAGACAGAGGAGTGTCAGCTGTTGGTGGGTATTAGGGTGTTTGGGCTGCTATTACAGAACCATAGACTGTGTGGCTAATAAACAGAAATTTATTGCTCACAGTCTGGAGGCTGGAAGTCCAAGATCAAGGTACTCGCAGTTCCAGTGTCCGGTGAGGCCCACTCCTTGGTTCATAGATGGTGTCTTCAAGCTCTCTTCATGTGAAAGGGGTGAGAGAGCTCTCTGGGGTCTCTCTTATTTATATATTTAATTTATTTTTAAAAAAATATTTTTATTGATTTCAGAGAGGAAGGAAGAGGGAGAGAGAGAGATAGAAAATCGATGATGAGAGAGAATCATGTATCAGGCTGCCTCCTGCATGTTCCCCACTGGGGATGGAGCCCACAACCTGGGCATGTGCCCTGACTGGGAATGGAACCTCGGCCTCCTGGTTAAATAGGTCAACGCTCAACCACTGAGCACGCCGGCCAGGCCTGGGGTCTTTGTTATAAGGGCGCTAATCCCATTCATGAGGGCTCTACCGTCATGATCTAATCACCTCCTAAAGGTCCCACCTCCTAATACTGCCATGTTTGGGCTGGGTTTCAACATGGGAATTTTGGGGAGACACATACATTCAGACCATAGCAGTGGGGCTTGTAACTCAGATGACAATGCGTGTGTCTTGGGGGCGGGGGGGGCAGAGTGTCAGTATGACTGTCCCTGTGATTGTCTCTCTGTATTGTGAATACCCCCGTGGGTTTCTCAGTGATGGTGTGTGATGGTATGATGATGGCCATGCGCTTCTCGGTGATATCATGAACTTGGGGACAGTATGACTTTGTCCTGTAAGTGTAAGTCTCAGCGATTGTCTGAGTGCCATGAGACAGCAGGCCTAGAAGCAAGAGTGTGACTATGTTTGTAAGATGACGTGCCTGTGAATATCAGGGTTCCTGTGGCACTATGTTGTCGGTGTGCAGGTGAGTGCCATACACCTGTGGGTAATGGTATGCCTCTGTGACTGACGCCAGGGTCTGAGTCTGGTGTACAGAACAGCGAGACTGTTGGGCTGTTTCCCGTCTTTTGCTCTTAGAGAGAAGGCTGCCATGAATAGTGTACCTATGTCAAGACAGCCATGGATAAGTGTGACCATGGCCTTGTGCCTCTGGGTGACACGTTTCATACGCCTGTGTGACAGTGTGTCCCGGTGCTTGTTCCTGTGCCTTTGGGTGACTGGCTGCGTCCTGTGTCAGGGACTTCACACTGGGTGTGACAGCCAGCTTTTCGACATTGGGTCCCATGCCTATGGGTATTGGTGGCACTGCCCTACCTGGGTGACAGTGTGATGGCATTTCTTTGCCTATCTCTCTGCCTTATCTATGTAGCCGTTTTTATGATTTTCCCTGGGCTGGAGTTAGAGTCCTGGGAGTTCTGCGGTGGTGTGACCGTGTGTCTTAAGGGTCTTGTGATCATGCCCATGCGCCTCTGTGACAATGTCCCTTTGCCAAAATTGGGTTGTTTCCAGTCTTTTGCTCTTAGAAAGAAGGCTGCCATGGATAACAGTGTACCTCTGTCAAGTGCAGAGGTGTTTCTGTGGGACGCAGTCCCTGAATTGCGATGTGGGTCAAGGAGTAAATACAGCCCTGACCAGTTTGGCTCAGTGGGTGTGATCATGCCCATGCGCCTCTGTGACAATGTCCCTTTGCCAAAATTGGGTTGTTTCCAGTCTTTTGCTCTTAGAAAGAAGGCTGCCATGGATAACAGTGTACCTCTGTCAAGTGCAGAGGTGTTTCTGTGGGACGCAGTCCCTGAATTGCGATGTGGGTCAAGGAGTAAATACAGCCCTGACCAGTTTGGCTCAGTGGATAGAGCGTCGGCCTGTGCAAGGGTCCCAGGTTCGATTCCAGTCAAGGGCATGTACCTTGGTTGCAGGCACATTCCCAGTAGGGTGTGTGCAAGAGGCAGCTGAATCGATGTTTCTCTCTCATGGATGTTTCTAACTCTCTATCACTCTCCTTCTCCCTTCCTCTCTGTAAAAAATCAATAAAATATATTTT